AATTATCATGTTCTTTCAAAACTGATGCCCACCCCATGAACAAAAATCAGCAGAAAATTGATCAAAAATATGATCTACAAGGTAGCTTAGCTGGTCTCAAGTGATCTAAGGGGATTAGACAGATCAGACTGTCTCAAAACGTGGTAGTTACAGCACCGGTCTGGGGCTCGGGAGACCTGCGCTTGATTCCCAGCTCTGCTGCTAATTTTTGGGTGACAGTGGACAAATAATTTCATTTTTTTCTGTTCCCTTTTCCCCCCAGATGAAAACAGAGCTGCTCTCCTTTGTGAAGCCCTGGGAGATCCCTGGCTGTATAAGGGTTATGTCAGAGCTCAGGATATTTGTGTTGTTATTAAATCTCACAGTCGTGCAACAGCCTCCCCAGGGAAGAGATGAAAGACCTGTCGCTGGAAAGGTTTAAAGACAGGCTGGATGAGGCGGTAGGAGACACACCACCGAGAATTAGCAGGCATTAACGAAGGGGCAAAAGGGAGTCAGGATCTGGCAGGTTTTCTTCCACCTCTGCTCTTTCTGATCAGCTTAATAAAATGGATCTGTCCAGCCCCCCTCCAGCATGTACTGCAGCACACAACAAAGGGGGAATTACAGCCCAAACGGGGAGCACGAGCCCCGAAACACTGCACCCCAAGATGCCCGCTGCAGCGGATCCAGTGAACACAGGCCTCCGCTCGCTCTTGTCCCCATGATACGCTGGGTGCAAGCCCCTCGCCCCCCCAGCTCACGCAGGGCACGGGGTGCTCGCCCCCCCCTTCAGCACCATTGCTCCCCAACAGGCTCCTGGAGCTCAGACAGCGTCTCCTTGCCCCCGCCTGACCCCGGGCGAGGCCACCCAGGGCCGAGAACAGACCCCCTTGTGTTTCCCCCCACCCTGAATCTGCTTCCTGCGACCACCTCGGCCGAGCCTCCTCCCAAAGCAAAAAAGTTCCCGGCGCATCTGGGTGGGACCTCCTCCCGGGGGGCTGTGCGGGGGGGGATGAACCCCCCATCTGCTGGGTGGCTCCTGGCCAGCAGTGCTGCTTCCCGGCGCTCTCCCTGGCTTTGCATTCCTCCCTCCTCTCCATCCCTTTCCCCCTGGGGGCTTGCCTCTCTCCCCCTCCCCACCGTTCGGTCTTGCTTTCTCCCCCAGCATCTCCCTCTCTTCCCACCGCTGAGCACAGCTGCAGTCGGCGGCAACCCCCAGGATGGATGAACCCCCTCGCTCCCCACATCTCGGGGACCATCATTGTCTCCCGCCGAGCCGCCTGCCGCCTCTCAGCCCTGTTGTTCTCCGCAACCGAAGGCTCACCATATGCCTGGGCTCCTCACGGCGATGCCGAGCAGGAGGGTTTCACCCCAGTAGGGTGGGTCGGGCCGGCGGTGGGTCTGTCCAGCCGTCCCTGATGGCAGGGTGTTCTCACTCCCTTTCTCCCCGCTGCAGAGACCGGGGCTGTGGGAGCGGGAGCCGTTTCCTGCGAGCTCCCACGGCCGCCTCGCCGAGCCCTTTTATCGCCGGGCTGTCGCGGTGATTGGCTCTCGGCGTCGTACCGTCTTCCAGCCGCTCCCTCCTTTGTGTGCAG